CTGGTTCAACACTTCAAGGATATTCAAAATTTTCAAAAATCTCAAATGCTATTGTAATTAGCCTGGTGTAGAAAGGGAAGATGAGGGAAGATGACTCCTCCATAGGTTGGCTCTCCGAGGAGAAAAGGTAAAAGGTGTAATTATTAATATTTTCTGATAGACGGCTCCCAAAGTACAGAGATGACGGCAATGCTGTACAAATACCAGATTAGTCTCAGGATCAGCAATTTTATCATATACGCCAGTGTTTAAAGTACAACAAAATGATAACCTTAACCCAGCCCCCAGAGATGATAAACAGCACAACAGGGAACTTGCGCAGCCTGTAAGGTGTTACACAACGCAGCTCTGAGAGCCAGCGCAACAGCTCCGAGAGCAAATAAATCAACATTGTGACCAGTGACTATTAAACTAACATAACGAGTGCTTATAACAAATTTGGTCTAATGTGCTCCAGTCAGATCTGTCATTATCTCAACCCATCAGGCCCCACGTTAGGTGCCAAAATGATTGTCATGGTTTAACCCCAGCTGGCAACTAAGCACCACGCAGCCACTTGCTCATTCCTCCTACCCTCCACAGTGGGATGGGGAGGAGAATCAGAAAAAAGCTAAAACCCATGGGTTGAGATAAGAAGTGTTACTATAATTGTCATGAAAAGGGAGACAACAAAGAGAGAGAGAAATAAAAACCAAGACAGACAAGTGATGCACAATACAATTGCTCAGCACCCACTGACCAATGCCCAGCCCATCCCCCAGCAGCGATCGGCCCCTCCTAGCAAACTCCCCCAGTTTATATACTGGCCATGACACTCTATGGTATGGAATATCCCTTTGGTCAGTTCGGGTCAGCCGTCCTGGCTGTGCTCCCTCCCAGCTTCTTGTGCACCTCCTCACCGGCAGGGTATGGGAAACTGAAAAGTCCTTGACTTAGGGTAAGCGCTACTTAGCAACAGCTAAAACATCCCTGTGTTACCAACATTATTCTCATACTAAATCCAAAACACAGCACTGGACCAGCTACTAGGAAGAAAATTAAATCTATCCCAGCCGAAACAAGGACAAGGTGTAAGTTCAACACATCTTCCAAGACCACAAAGCACAGTAATCATATGAACATGGAGGGATTACCTGAAATTCAAACACAAAAAATAGCAAGTGGCAAGAAAGTTATGGAGAATAAAGCAATAAAAAGCAGGAAGAATGTTGGCACCAGATTCCTTTACCTTCTCTTTGCTCCCCTCTCCTTCAGTGAACTGAAACAGCCTCCATAGAAGAAACAGGTCCAGGACCCTGAGAAACACCATCCCAGAGGCATGGTTAGAGCCAGAAAGAATGGGAACTGCCAAGCTAGTGTCAGAGCTTGTGTTGACAGCTGTGAGGTTTGCAGAATTAATTCCTCCAGAAGCACAAGCAAGCTTTTCTTCTGCAGTGAGTAGGCAGCAGCCTTCATCCCATAGGCAGATACTCCCTGAGACATCACTGGAGCAATTCTAGACTTCAAAAAAATTATTCCCAAGAATTATTTACACTTCACTATGCCTCAAGAGCTGTCTTCTACAGCAATGGCAGAGTTAATAGGGTAAATACCTTATGCTGAATGGGGAGTTTAAGAAAAAAGGATAGTTTAGAAACAACATCATTTTTTAAAAAGAGAGAGAGAAACTAGAGGTAAGCTAGGAACAGAGAGTATTTCCAAACAAAATACAGAAAAAAGCCAGATAAGGTTGGAACACCAGACCCATGTAAGGTTTACTTTAGAAACCATGAAGCAGCCCTTATTGATGTTGTTTTTTCACATACACAAAATCAACACTAACTTCTGCAGTCTTCAACAGTATATTCACTGAACAAATAAACACTAAAGTGGTACATGGAGCTTCTGCATCATAACATAACCATGCAAGGAAGAAGGCTTCTCTGTTGCATATGCACAGATTGCCCTTTGGCTGTCAAGGACAACAGACCACAAGAGCACAGAATAGCATTGATCACAAAAGTTCAAGTATTCTTTCTGCACCCAGGTAAACTCAGTAGTCCGTATGCATCCAGATTTGAACTCCATGTCCTAGAAACATCCCACAGATGCAAAAATATCAGATACCTGCATTGCCTAACACAGCACTGTCATGAAGGAGAGGGAAGATGCATATGTAAGCTAATTTCAGGAACAATAACTGGTCAAACTTCTAACAAAGTATTTATTTTGTAAATTAAATACAGACTACACAGAAAACAAGGAGGATTCTGCCATGAGAGTGGAAAAGAAGTAGTTTGCAGAACAACAGCTTAATGCATTTGCCATGACCAGAGCTAGCATGTTACCAGAAAATTTTAAACTGTGATATTAAAACATTAACCAGATGCAAAATAAGGTTTCTAATGCCACCAGTAATTAGCCAGGCAGCAGCAATACAAAAGGTTGAGGGTGTGTTTGCATTTCTTTCCTTCAGTTTTATTTTTGTTTGGTAAGTTGTCTCTTTCTGTTGTTTTGTATGAAAGGCCTTCCCAGGCTAGAGGCAACTAGAATGTCTAGGTTACAGAAGCACTTGTTATGACTGCCCACTTGTCCCTACTCCTTTGTTTGCTGTTTCACCTAGAACATTCCCTTACTGGCCATTTGTGCAAGCTTTCTAGCCTTTCACACAGACTACGTTACAGATTCCCTTAGCACACAGCCCCTTCAACATCAGCACCCAGGAACAGATTGCTTCCTGTCCCCAACCATACCAGTTGCTCCAAAAATCTTTAAAGTCTGTTGTGCATTTCTTTTAAGGCTACATTATTATTAGCAAAAGGAAAAATCTTAGAACCATTCATAAGCATCTGTAACATTTAATGTATTTTTCATCTATGTCACTTTTTGCCATTCACTTAACTCAGGCTAAACAAGCTAATCAGTGTCACTTAAGCATTTGCACATTTTTTTCGTTTCAGAATGTCCATCTCCTTTTCAAATGCTTCCTTACAAGGTGAGGCAATATTCAAATCTGTTTTCATGCCAAATCGGAACCACCAGATAAGTAGGGTATACAATATAAAGTATTACTATTATGCATCAGCACAGGGATTATCTCATCACCTTCTCCTTCCAAAGGACCAAGTCTAGAGCTTCAATGGGACTATTACTTCTTTATTTAAACAAGTCAGTAAAGTTGTCCTGAATTATGAACATAATCATTTCTGGTTCCTGCTCACATTGATTTTAATTTCACTGATTACTAAGTAGCAGACATCTTTGTCAACAAAATTATTTCTCCTTTTGTTTGTAATTTTTCTTAGTATATATATTGATTACATTATTTTCTTTTTCAGTTAAATATTTCTTTTCCTTTCAATTAACAGCTAAGGTAGCCCTAAGCATGGGAGCACTATAGTAGTATACAACTGCTGAAACACAAGAGAAGTCTGATACAGGAGTATCAATGAACTGTAAACATAAATCCATTCCACAGAATAACCTCACATCATCAGTACAATTGTGCTTCTCTATTAAATTTGTTTTTAATGGAAAAATGCTATAGTAAATATGCTAATGCACACTTAATTGGAACAAAATCAGATATATAATTATGTGCATTAGGAAGGAGTCCAAAGGCTACAGAGAAATGGAGATTGAGAAGCTCCTGTCCAGAGACAGGAGGAGACTGCAAAGAGTTGGAGGTAGGAACAGCAAACTTTTATAGTTGTAAGGACTGAAATTCAGTTTACCACATGATTAAGAGAATAAAAAATGTTTAAACCTGGAAGAGTCTGATGTAGAAAAAGAGAAAACCACAGTACAGATGTACATTTGCATCCTTTTAAGATAATGACATCAACAGATACTTATTGTGCTGTTCAAATGAGAGCAATAGTCCATTCTTCCGTTTTCAAAATGGTTACTTACCAATTTGCATTTGCAGCAAAGGACATTTAGCAAAGATACAAGACCAAAAAAAATAATGCTAAACATCATACTTGGAACAGTCTACCAAGCAAATTTGTGAACTCCTTTCTCACTTGAAGTGAGGGAAACAGAAGTTAACCAAACCCCAAATATATAACCTTTGATCTCCAGAGTAGGATTTAGAGAACCGTAATGTATCAGTCTGGAAAGGTATTAGAAGAGATACTAAAGCTTTATTACTTTAATTAATAGACTGGGCCACTGACATGTAGAAAATGGTTTCAACATGTAAATTATGCTCTAGTTTTGGCACAAACTAAAGATTTAGACTGATCTGAAAACAGTTACCCTGACTTTTCTTCTGTATGGTTTCCGGTTTCTAGTGGTCTGTAAGTAGCCTACTGTCAAAAATAAACAAATTTGACACTTCTGAGGCAGCTAGCACTCCTATGATCACACTGGAGCAGCCACTGCTGTTAAGTCAGACAAATGAGCTGTCAGTACCTTACATTCATACTCCTAGTGAAGAAACTATTTTCAGGGTTTCTTGACTGGAGTTATTTAGTGGAATGTGTAAGTCTAAAAAGAACAAAGTTAACCATTTGATATCTCAAAATTCAAAGCTCAACTCTTTCACTGAAATCCTGTTGGCCAGGTGTTCAATTAAATGTATTCCACATAAATACAAAAAACAATTAGAAAAACATTCAAACAAGTAGCACTAGCATTTGTTGAGAATGTAGTGCAGTCTTAGGAGACTCAGTTTCATTACTTCAATCTCATTAGCTGTGCAATAACTTTTAAAATTTGAGTTAGTGTATTATTAGCAGAGGGTACCAAATGGACAAATTTCTAGATAGAAAGATGCAGTAACAGACAGACAAATATACTGGCCAGCATAAGCTGCTAAGCTTTTGTTGATGTCTTCCTCCATTGTTCTGAAACAGCCATTTCTTGCAATACTAATCAATGCAACCATACTCAGAACCCTGTAACTGAAAGACTTTTGCATTTGCAACATTACTCTAAACACACTTAGACAATACTGGGAGAATTTATTATATTAACGATTGTTTTTAAACAAAGTGTTCCAATGATCATTCATTCACAAGTTTTTAAATAAAAATTTATTACAGAAATTATTTTGAACAAAAAAGGCAACAGTATCTGTTGTAATTAAAAAAAAAAGTTACATTGTATTCATGCCCTATTATAAGGTGAACTGAAGAAATGCTACAGCTATTTCTTCCGCTGTCATTCTGTGATGCTTTCTAGTATGGATTAACTCACATCTGCATCACAAGAATTAAGTATGAACACAGTCCCTTTCCATGCTTCTCTCCAGAAAGTGCTGCATGTTAACAGAAAATATTGCAGACAAACCACGGTCCTGTTCACTCTGCAGTATTGGAACCAGTGTCTAGGGAAGAAAAAACAAAGTATGAGTAATGCATACCCCCCTACAGCTGAGTGTAAATAAAAGAGAACTAACACCATTCTTTAATATTTTCCCCAAGCTCAAAAGCATTCCCCAAGCACTTTAGAGTATGTTCTGTACCTACCCAGTTCCCTCGACTGCTATCAGTGTGATGCACAAACCGCTTGTGCTGATTCACTTCAGTTAGCAACACTGAAAAGAGCCAGCACAAAACTTCCAAGGCTGCACACACACATTGTTTGTGATTAAGGCATTAAATTACAACAAGCTTTGCTCTAACTTGCAGTGATACACAAACACTTCATTGCAGTCAGCCACAAGCACATCTGGCTAAATCGCATGATCTACTAAAGAGAAATGGTTCTGTAGATCCAGTAGCATAAGCTCCTACAGTGTGTGGGCTATAGTTTAGTATGCATTTTGAAATAAATGAAAGAATGAGTATGATCTTAATAAAACAACTGAGAGCAATTCTCTGTTGTGAGCTTTTGTCAGAAGCACCAGTTAACACCAGTGCAATTTCTGGTATTACTATCATTACTGCCTTCTTGTTCTTAGAGCTACAGAAACAATATAAAACTTGGATACCGAGAAAGACAAGTTAGTGTTCACTAAGTTCCTTTAGGAAGTCAACTTCTTGAGGGGAAAAAAAGGCTGTAATGTTAATAGCAACTTTAAGTCACTCAGTTCTTTAAATCTTATCTGCATACTTTATCAAGAGTGAAAATGGTTAATACTTGGAAACTAAAGTTTCCTCTATCAGCTATAATAAAATAAAGAGAGTAAGATTATATGCTCGGCTAATACCAGAAGTTCAGCAAACAATAAATTCTGTCAACTCTTTAGAACTACAACTTGAAGTGACTACTGTAATCATGCCAGGATCAGGAAGCGATGAAGAACCTCTTTCAGAGGTGGAGGGTATATTTAAATACAGCCTTTTCCATTCTCAGTTCTTCCTTTTAGCATTGCTCCCCAGAGATGAAAGAAGTGGCACCATTTCACACATCTTTAGCGATGTTCTGCCACACTGATGGTTTTAAAAGTTATAAACCAGCTTGCCACAAAAGTCACTAAATTACTTTTTCCAGTACAGAATTTCAAAATGACAAAAGTAATCCAGTCAAGCAGATATGGAACATAAACGCCTGTAAGCAGTGTACATACAGTGCTGTTAAGCAATATATAAATCTTACAAAATGATTTGCAAATTCTAGCATAAGCTTTTCAAGCGCTTGGTTCCCCTACTATCAAATCCAGCAATTGCTTAGACAGTTTTCTCAGAAAATTGCTTGCTCAGGCTGATGAAGCACTCCTTGAATTCAATAAAACATGGTGCTGTTCTAACAAAGAGATTAATACTAGAAAAATCACCATACAGAAATCCAATTAAGATTACTTCCAACTTTCTAATCGTTCTAGTAGTATGTACTTCCCAACAACAGGTGTACAGCAGTCTCCAACATATTCCTATTTCAGTGCTTATGAGATAGGAAGCATTTAGCTTGCTTTTGATTCATTTCTCATCATATGTAAAACGGAGTGCAGGGTCATACTTTTGCCTGAACAGTACAATCAATATAGCTTTAATTAGCCATTTGGTCAAAGCTTTCTACAAATGATCAAGTCTTGTGTCTCATCTTATTTATATCATATTCCATACTTACTTTTTCCATCACATGCCACAATTTTCACTTTATCCACTTTCACAAGTTCAGTGACCTCCCTAAATTCAACATCATTCAGTACAAACGTCCATACGTTGTCACAGAACCTGTATGTATTCAGAGACCCCTTTAAAAAGACAAGAGACATTTTCTATAGGATACATCCCAAAAGTAACAGAAAATATGATGTTCACTACCTGCTGA